AAGAAGACGACTTCATGGGACGAAGATTGGGGTCCTATAAACGGGCGTAATGCCGCAGCTCCTAATCCTCTAGCATCCAATTCGACATCTAAGCATTCCGTGCCAACTCCACAGCCTATTTCTGTTCCCACCATACCTTCGCAATCTTTGATGCCCAGCATTAGCCCACAAACAACATCTATCCCTTCTGTTGATGTCGAGTGGCCGCCACCAAATCCTTCGTCTCTTTTCATTTCCCAAGCATCGGCTAACGATAAGCAGAAGCAGAACTCCGGCAGACCTTTCGATGGAAGTTTCGATGATATAGATCCATTTGCCAATTGGCCCCCTAAGCCAAATGGTTCCTCAATCAATAACCTGAGTTCTAGCAATAAGCCTTATAACAATTTCATTGGATCAAAACCCAACCAAGAGAGTGGAAATGTTAAAGACTCTTTATCATGGGGGTCCAATAAAAAAGCTAATTTGGATATTGGATCAATTTTTGTATCAGCAAATAGTATTGGGCATACTGCTCCTAAGCTCGCTCCACCTCCATTAACTGCTGTGGGACGAGGTCGTGGAAGAAGCCAAGTATCGCTGTCGAGTCATACGAAGGCTTCGTCGGAACAGCAGCCTATTTTAGATTTGCTCTAGAAGTATGTTTGATTTTGCGTTCGGAGTTGGGAGGGTAATTTTTGTAAAGAAAAAGAAGGGTTTAATGCGTGTATTATTTGCGTTACATGTTGCATTCTTTGATATTGTTGAGGTGATGGGGGATAAAATAAAGGCAACTTAGGCTATTTTGTGCCTTCAGTTTTTTTTTTTTAATCAATATTTTCTGCAGTTATAGTTGTTTGTTAGTGTTGTTAGTGTATAATTACCGTACACAAAAGAAACTCTTTTAGAAGGTTTGGGTGCATTTCGGGCGGCGGTGCGATGCAGCATTATAATGTTCTGTTTCGTAAAATTGTAAAATTGTGATTTGTCTGCTATTTCAAAAATCTGCTGTTGAACCTCTTAAGTGTGGTGGCACGGATTAAGATGTAGTTTG